CCCAAGGCCTGTGACCTGGGACACCTACTGTGTGGAACTAATAAGAAATGCCAGCTACATCATAGGTATGCTGTGAGGACCTAATAAAATATGTCCTACCCAGCACCACGGCGGGTTCAGTGGCAAGGCTGCATTCAAAGGTGGCAGTGGTGAGCTGTGCTGGCGTTTACTGCAGAGCTTCGGGACCAGCAGCTGGTCAGTGCTCCTCTCTCCTGTTCTCCCTTCGGATCATCTAGACGAAGCGTTCTAGGTGGCTCCAGGGGTGAGTGCCAGGTGCCAATGGTGTGGGTGTGTATGGGCAACGGTAGCGTCACTCTTGGACCTTCTGTGGAATTCACGCTTGCTGCTTCTGTGGCTCGGAGAGTCCTAGTTTTCAACCTGTTCCTAAAGGGTTAGATACAGGTAACTAGGCTCTCCATGCAACTCTCCCGACCTTGAATGTTGGTTAGCTGTCACTGGAGGTAATGATTTTGCACCCCCTAGGCAGTTTTGAAGACCTACTTAATATTTAGATAAGGTAGTTACCTAAAAGGTACCTGGTTCCATGTTGCAGTTGTTTGCCTTGAATAGTGGACTCTTGTCTATAAAAAGATAAAAGGGGGAGAGAGGCATATTTCCGGCTGTTATCCCACCAGCATAGATTATTGCTTTCATTTAGATTCCCTGGATCATTTCTGGAAGGTTGTCTGTGTCCTTCCCCCAGGAAAGATACTTTTCACCGTTGGCTTTTCTTAGGGTGGTAACAGTTTTGAACACAATCCTTAAAGACCTCTTTAAAGAAGTGGGCACTGATCGGAGGGAAGGGGAAAGTCTAAGGGACATTTCCTGTTTGGGTTGGTTGGTGTTTCACTTATATGAACTCCTACTTCAAGGCCCTCACCCTGATTCTGGAAGGCCCTTGGTCATCTCTAGCTATTCTTATTTAAACTTAGAACTCTTCTGTAGGCTTTCTTATTTGCTAGCATGAGAAAGTGATGGTTTTTCTTAAAATAGATAAAAAATACATATATTTGTTAATTAAATATCACATTTTTCAGAAGAGCATGCACTTGAGGAAGGGTGGCCACAAAACCTTCATACACTCTTGGCCCTATAATAAACATCTTGCCTTTGAATTAAGGAGTGCAGTCTGTGGATGCATTTCCCCTCTGGGAATTTCATTAGAACGTACTAGAGGGGTGGCCAACCCCACCTTCCTCATTAGTACTCTTGGATAGTATTTTTCACAGGTTTTTTGTATTGCATGAGTAGCTCTGTGCCAGGCCCAGTGTTGAACATTTTATAGGCATGAGCCTTAATTTTCACAACGATGCTCTGAGGTTGACCCCCGTTCTCATCTGGAGTTTGCAGAGACAGGACGAAACTCCTGAGACAGGTTGCACAGCTAGACCGGTCAAGTAGAATTTCCATCTGGGTCTTCCTTGCATTCATAGCCTTCACTCTTGGTCACTGTGTATATACCCTGGGGCTCTAAAACCACTTTTAAGGCACTGTACTCATAAAGTATAAGACTGGCTGGTTTCTGAAGGTCTGTCCAGCTTTGTTCTATGATTCTGAGTAGACTCCATGTTAGCGGAGTGACTCTGTGAGACTGTGAGATCTCTTCCTCTGATGATTGCAGTTGCAATTCAGTGGCTCTTCGGCAGCTTATGAGTCTCACCACTGCCATAGGCTGGACGTGACAGGGGCTAGAAAGTTCTAGAAGACACAGTCTTTGTCCTTAAGGAACTTAGCTACAGCGGGACCAAGAAAGGTACATACGTGACTCCAGCCTGGATATGATGTGACATAGAAAGAAGGGACTGTGGGGTCCTCAGGCTGGAGAGATGGGGCATTGTCACGAAGAACATCCTCCCATGCACCGTAGTAGCACAAGTACAGGCAGGTCGTATGGGAATCGTGACTGGACCCTGGTCTCTGCAGGGACGACTGCATTCCTTTCCCCTGCTTGTTTGGGAACCGGTCAGCCTGGAGAACGTGTGGTTTCCCAGGGACCTGCCTGGCATACAGTCATGATCAGAAGAGAGAACCGTGTCCCAATAGGGTTGCCATTTTCCCCCTCCTTAAGCTGGGCAGCAGTGGCTTCGAAACCACCCCCTTCCATGTTACAGAGTCCGACCGGACTGGAAAAAAACCTCTTGGCTAGACTCAAGTGTGCAAAATAGCATGAAGGTGATGGTGTCCAACTTCTGTCAGAATGAGCCTCATGCATGTTTCTAAGAGGAAGAGGGAAAAGTAACTTTTAAATCCTATGCCTGGCGAGCACCACTGTTGCACGGATTCTATCTTCATCCTTCGCTAGACAAGTAGGGAAAGGTTTTCCCCGCATTTCCTGTTAGTCCTGCTTGGAAGGCAGCCACGGAATTTGTGCTTCTGAACTGTAGACAGAACTCTGCCTTTGGGCAGCTTCTCCCTAACAATAAAATAATAAATAAGAATAGTAAACCACCAGTCCTGTGTTTACCATGTGGTAGGTTCTGTGCCAAACTCTTCCCATGGATTTTCTTGAGAACTAGGATTCGGGATTCGTGTTAGGACCCGGGCCTCTTAACCCTTTGTGCTTGTCTGCGCCCATGTGGTTCTGTAGTCCGGGAGTCGTGGCTGAACAGACAGAGCTACCATCTCTGGCACTCAGTAGGCTGACTCAAGATGCCTGAGTCCTGAGCCCAGACCCACTGAATCGGGTTCCTGCTGAGAGATTTCCTGGGCCCAGGCATCCAGATCTGTGACGAGCCTCCTGAGAGAAGCTTGACTCAGCCGGAGCTGAGAACTGTCGGCTCCGCTGCCCACTGCCAGCCCTTCTACCCCCATCCTTTGCTTCCTTCCATTGTTTATGGTGATCCTGCAGCCCTTCGGCCTCTAAGTGACGGTCTTCCCTGCTTTGGGTTATCAGTGGCTGTTCCTACCCATCTCATCGTTTTTCCACCCTCACTGTGAACTGTCTGGAACTGGTCTGCCTTCTTCCATTTCCACAGGTGTGTATCTTTCCAGCCAAACAAAAAAAACTTCTGGAAGGTGGCAGTAGTCATTTTCCTCTCCTCGTGGTGGCCTTCACTCTTCTGCCTGGGCCTGTCCCTTCCTCTCCCTGGCTCCTCTTTTTTTTCCCCCTCTCCACCCCGGCGTGCAGTAAGAGTTCATTTGTTGGTTACTTTTCAATTTGTCCTAAACAGAAACGTTCCCCCTAAAGAATCCTCAGTGCGTGTCCATAAGATGCTGGCCCTGGCCTTGAGGCAGTATTGCTTCACTCTGCTGGCTCTGGCCTTGTCCAGACCTTCAGGGCTGCTAGGGAGGTGTGACCAAAGCTCCCTCGGCTTTGGCGCTTTTCATTTCAGTGCTTTGATTGCAAACTGGTAATTCACAACATAAGGCTCTTTGAGCAACTAGCTAGCCTTCTCTGAAAGTGTCCAGTTGTTTATGAGGATCGTTAAACCAGGCTGTTGCAAGTGCTGACTTCTTTTTCTGTAGTTTTTTCTGGAGCATGTGGAGGAAGGCTGTATTTTACGTTCCGAACATGCTCATGAAAGTTAGAAGCCCCTTTTAGAGATGCCTTCCCCACAATTAACTGGGGGTGAGAAATGCTCTTTGTGTATTATACCCCTTCTTTACTCATTTAAGAAAAAACAAAAAAGGACAAGAAGAAAAATGCAAAGCAAAGCTAAGTGCTGGGTGGTCCCTGAACTCGAGAGGCACTAGTGGGCAGCACTGAAACCTCTCTTCTTTCCTTGTAATGCAATTCCTTTTCCTTGATGTTAATGCAAGTTGTGCCTTCCTAAAAGTAATAAAAGGAAATGAAGACACGTTCCGAAATGAAACTTGACTCTAATCCATTCATCATCTAATACTAGCCTCTTTATCTTTGCTGGTACCTAATCTGGTTAAATGTCCCTGTTGTAGGATTTTAGTGAAAATCCTCTATGGGGAATAGGGTTTTTTTGCAATTGGATTACTCTCAGTAAATGGCCCAGTAGTTCGCTTGTTTCAGCTTCATTTTTTCTTTGTGGTCTTGCTGGGCTAAGTTACAGCACAGCATAGTGGAGGGGGTGGGGTGGACCGAGAGGGGGGCGGGTGGGGGAAGAGAAGAAGAATTTGGGAAGGTCTGGTCATGGCAACTAGAAAAAATCTTCAAAATGCTTTTTTTTCTTTTTTTCCTGCTCTTTCTACCTATCCACCCTTCCTGAACATAAAAATGCTTGTACTTTGTTTGCTAGAACTGCCCGTTTGGAAACTGCACCCCTTTTATTAACCCAATTTATCATCATCCAGTTAATTTATTAGCATTCCCCCATGACTTGCTAATGAAATTCCTAATGAATCAGGGCTGCTGTAATCTGCATAAAATATGCAGGTGCTTGCCTGGCGGTTTAGGGCTTTCTGGTAAAGTTCATACTCCCAACCAGACCAGGAGTGGAGCTTGTCATCCGTGCTGCCCGCAAAGGGTCATAGCAGGCCCGCTGGTTGCCAGGGGCAGGGAGCAGTTAGGAGCTGGGGGTGGTGGATAGGGCGGGAGGGTGGGTGGGTGGGACTTGGGCCCTGCTGGGTTTCTTGTAAGGGAACGTGTTCCTAGCCTGTTCCCTGGGAAGCCTGCTCACCTCCTAAAGGTCCCTCCGGTGGAGCCCTGGGGTCAGGAATCCCCCCCCCCCCACAACATGCAGGAACGCAGTTGGCCCGGTAGATTAAAGTCCCCACGTCCGATTTACCTGCCGGTTAGAAAAGTGCGCAGTCGGGCTCCCTGATGGGGTGGTGGTGGAGGAGGTATTTTTAAAGCCAGGCTCCATAGGGAGGTAAAAACGGAAGCGTGCCTACCCAGAGAACGGTCTTTACAAATATCTGTTATTTTTAATACATGGGTGGGGGCCGGGGCTGTGGGTGGAACGGAGCACATCTTACAGAATCCGGGTGGGAGGACGTGGCCCCGGGAGGCCCGGGTCCTGGGTTCGGAAGTCTCGGGCTGCCAGGAACCAGCTTGATGGTGTCCTTCTCTGTTTCTTTCCCGCCCACAGTCGAACAAAGTGCCAGTCGTGCAGCACCCTCACCACGTTCACCCTCTCACGCCGCTCATCACGTACAGCAATGAGCACTTCACCCCGGGAAACCCACCTCCACACTTACCAGCTGACGTAGACCCCAAAACAGGTAGGCCAAGCGCTTGGTGCCAAGAGCGCATGCTGGGTCTGGGGCCGCCTGACCTGCTGGGATTTGGGGCGGGCTGTGGGCAACGGTGGAGGGACTCCTGTTCCTCTCCGGGGTGTTGAGAAGTTCTTAGGGGAGGACAGAGACTGGTGAGGGGGTGGCTTCCCCTGTCCTTAGAAGCCCATGCGTAGCCCTAACAATCTTTCTAGAGTCCCGAATACGCCCCAGAAGGGCTGGCTATGAGTCCCACACTGTTTTTCAGGAGTAGCGTAGAACTAACTCCCAGAGCCACAGACAGGCTTGGCGGCATCTCATGGCCTCCTTCTCAGCAGCTTGGGGTTACAGGAGCCCTACAAGCCTGGCTCCCCAAAGCCCTGGTTCCCTTAGCGGCTGAGGGACTCCAGACACTTGATGATGACTTCTTGGTGCCACATCACTGGGTCCCGCATCGTCTTTGCTGATTTATCTGGGTTCCTCTTCTCCTACAGTATCATGGGTATCACCAAGCCCATTATACAGATGTGAAAAACAAGTCCATTGTGGAACAACCAGTAGGGTCTCAGGTGGAAGATGCCACGTCATCCTTCAGCCTTTACGCTTTTCCTCTCCCTTCCATCCCATGTACCCACTGACTGCTTTTGCCCCAAAGAGGGAAAGAGAGGGCAGGGTTACTTGTAACCCTCCCTGTAGCAAGATTTCAGACAAGCAGCTGGCCACAGCTCCTAGTGGGATGGTCATGGAAGAACAGCTAAGGCCAGGACAGGCCGGGCGGTGCACTGGCTGGGGTCTCTCTAACCAGCTAGTTAATTAGAAGGATGAATTTTCAGTGGCTATTCCGTGTCACTTCATCAGATGGGATTATTTGGTGTCGAGCTGAGGTAGATTGCCCGTTCATGCAGACTTCGCTGCCCCTGAATGAAGCCACACATGAGCTGGTTTTCACCAGCCTCTGAGCCCCTTTTGTGCTCGTGGGGGACCCAGTCTGGTGCTTGGATGGCTGGAGGAGGCCGCCAGCCAGCCCCAGGCTCTGCGAGTGAATGGCAGCATCAACGTCTCATTTAAATAATGGTAGTACAGGGAATAGCTTTTAAATGGTTATCGTAAAACATATGATTAACGTCTGCAGACTGTTTACTTTTCCTCTGCGAACATTCTTTCAAGTGTGCAAATGGCTTGGTGTAGGGTCCAAGACCAGCTAATCTGTTTGGTTTTTGTAATAGAGAGAAAGCTATGTCTGCATGAAAATGTCACCCAGGGAGACTTAACTTACAGATTAAAAGCTTCCTGAATGAATTAAAAAAAAAAAAATGGCATAGTTTTCATCCACAGACATGCAGCTCATTACCTCCAATACTGCGTTACTTCTGTAGTATTGTTCGTTTTCTTCCCAGTTCAGCTGCTTCGATCAGTTCCTCTGTGTCAGAATTGCTCCCAGCGCTCTTGCTTTGCTCAGGATTGAGTGCAGGATGTGCTCCTGTGGAGTAAGTGTGCGGTGGCTCAGGTCTTCAGGATGTGCTCAGCTATGTCACGTGAGCGTTCCCAGCTCTCAGGACGCAGCAGTCCCTGATCAGCAGCTAGGGCTGGTTCTCCCCGCTGACTGCCTCCAGCGAAGTAGGTTCTAGACCCGAGCCCGCTGGTCTGCTCAGTTCAGATCCTACCCTGGAGAAGAGGCTGTGGCTTGTGATGAGTTTCTGCCACAGCTCATCCTCAAAGCTGAGGTGGAGACATTCTAGAAGAGTTACTTTTTTTTGAAAGAAGGCAAGAGTCACCCTTCCAAGAGCCATAACTGAAAAGCCGTTATTAGAAGCCTAGAGGAGGTGACTCTGGTGCAGGCAAGTCATCAGAATTAAAAGGAGTGGAGGCCCAAGCTGGGAGGGCAGAGAGAATGTACACGACTCGATCACCTACTGTGTGCCAAGCCCTTCAGGTTTTCCTTTAGTTTCAATAATCACACTGATCCCACAAGGCAGAAATACCCAAGATGGCATTTTCGGGGTCTGCGTTTACCCATCCACCTAGAAGGAAATAAACCTATTTCTCAAGGTAGGGCGGGGAGAGATGCTGAATGAAACTTACGCACGACTCTTAATGGTCATAGCTAGCAGAGCTAGCTCTGCTCATAGAAGAGGGGTCTCCGTCCTTTCCCTGTTTCCATCCCCTGGCAGTTTCTCTTTCCTTCTCTCCTCCTTTGTACCTAAAATGCCACTTCTTCCCCCAGGAATCCCACGGCCTCCGCACCCTCCAGATATATCTCCGTATTACCCACTGTCGCCCGGCACCGTAGGACAAATCCCCCATCCGCTAGGATGGTTAGTACCACAGTAAGGAGTTCCATTTTTTAATTCCCTTTTTGTTTCTTACATGGGCATGCTTATTATTTATCCTGTGTGTGTGTGTGTGTGTGTGCGCGCGCGCGCGTGCATGTGTGTGTTTTGGAAGACAGGGTTGGGGAGGGAGGGCCGTAGGGGTACATGGGGAAGATGATCGCCAAGGTGCCCTGTGGGGAAGCAGGAAAGTCAGTGGCCCTTCAGATAGGCCATGGAGGAAAAAGGTTGTTGATACTTCGCATTCTGAACTCACAGTCCTCCAAGACTCTAGGTTTCTCTCTGTGAACAAAGGTGTCCTTCAGATACTTTGGGAACTGCCGAGGCTCTGAGGGTCATGGCTCTTCGGCTGGTGGCCGACCAGACTGGAGTCCCGTCGTTGGTTTGAGGCGGCACAGGAGTGGGAACAGGCCTAACATCATTTTGAAATCTAGGGGTGAGATTGGGGGGTGATTCTCTCAGAAACCCCTACCCCCTCACCCCATCCTGAGGGTTACTCCCAAGGTTGGCAACAAGAGTGGCCAGGTCTGTCTGGTGAGACAGACAGTTTGCAACCAGCATCTCTCTGAGATTCTTGGTTCACCTGATTATGAGGGGCGGGGGTGGGGCATCGGGTATCCCTGTGCCGGCCCATGGGGCCTTCCTGAGTGTCCACCAAGGTTCCTGGCAGTGCGCAGGGCACCAAACCGCCTTTCACAATTTGTCTTCCCATCACCCAGCCTTGCTTCTATAGTCCGTCCATGAAGCTTCCTTGGACAGCTTGGAAAATGTGTGTTTCAGAGCCAGAGTAGAAGGGCCTTCACTGCCTAACCATACCGTGCACGAGTGTGTGTAGGCATGAAGTATCCGTTTCGTGATTGTGTTCTTGTGTATGTAGTGTACGTAGTTTTCCATGTTTATCAGTGATCTCTACTCTAAAAAAACGAGGACAATTTGTTGTCATAACAGGAATACGTCCTGGGGAAAACTCTGAAGTTTGGGTCTTGGGGAAGAAAGACACCCTTTCATAGCCTTAGAGAAGATAAGTTCTAGAGTAGTTCGCCTAGTATTTCTGTAGTTGAACACACTACCCTGGGTCGTGAAAAATAGCTTGTATTCTGAAGTAGCTAGTACAAACTACTGACCATGGGTGTACTTTCTCTTGTTTTTTTTTTTTCTCCTTCATTTTGTTGGGGAGGGTACACGCGGACGTGAGCTTGGGTCCCATTTCTTCCTCAGAAAATGGGGCCATTTTCTTCGAATAGTTCTCTGGCATCCCTTGCCCCGTTCAGCTGAGGGGGAGATATTTGAAGGCTAGATAAAAAGGAATAGCCAACTCAGACAGCCCTCTGTCAGAAAAAGTTGTGTGTCTTTCATGAGGATGCTATTTTGCATGTTGCTGTATTTTTTAATTATTGTAATGAGGTGTGATTGTCTATTGGTTACCCACAATTCTTCTTGGGGACTCTCCCCCCGGTAACTCTTGTCAACACTTGTTAATTTGACAAAAGGCTACAAATTAAGCTCTGTTAATTTAATGTTTTCTCACCGAGATCTAAATACCGAAAGAGGCCCAAAGCGTAACTGAAGTCCTTTGATTCACTGTACTTTATTTTGGTATAAATTTACATTCATTATTGTTTTCCTTTGGATGTGTAGCCCTCAATTAGTGTGATGGCTCCATTAAAGCAAGCGAGACTTCGCCTTTAATTATTACAACAAAACACCTAGTTTCAGCTTGGGGAGAGGGTCTCTATTGACATAAGCAGAGGTTATAAAATTTAATTAGCCATTCCTATCAGATTTATGGCATTCAAATTGTTCTGTGTTTCTTCCCTTTGATCCTTCCTGTACAATCCCCAAGATTTTTGTTCTGATCAAATGAGAATAAAGCTTACTGTGCAGAGAGAACTTTCCTTTTTCTTCTTTTTCTTTTCCCCACCCTCACCCTTGTTTGCACTCTCTTATTTTGTACCCCCCTCTTTATAGGCAAGGTCAGCCAGTGTACCCAATCACGACAGGAGGATTCCGCCACCCCTACCCCACAGCTCTGACCGTCAACGCTTCCATGTCCAGGTGAGTTCCAAGAACCGGGGCCTCCAATCAAGTCAGCCATGGGGGACTTCTCAGAAAGTTCTCTAGATGGCTCCCAGGCCATCCAGGGGCCACTCCTTCCTGTAGTCCTAATGGTCTAAGACCAATAGGGCATTAGGCTTTACTTCTAGAAAATACTGAAAAATAATTGATCTGAACTTCTAAGGTAGGTGATGTCACAGTTTCGAGGTTGAATCTGGGAATCAATGTATTGAGCGCTATTTTTTTTTTTTTTTTTTTTTTAAGAATTTAAAAAGGTGGGAAGAAGTAGTTAGGACATGCGGAACTTTTTAAACTGTTGTTTCTCTGTTGCCCTGTACTCGGTAAGAACGGAAAGGGTGGAAGTAATTTTATTATTACGTAAAGGAGAGTTTGAGGAAGGGTGTAGTCTTTTCAAAATTCAGATTCTTCACTGTCAACAAGAAGGGACACCCCATTCCCAAACATCCCCCCTCTGTAAAGTAGCACTGCCGCATAGGGAATTTTTTAAGTTTTTTACTAGCCACAGTTTTAAAAAGGTTAAGGGGGCAGGGGGAACCCAGGTGAAATTCTTTTTAACGATCTATTTCATTCAACCTCATATTGTCAAAATATTCTCATTTTGACATGTTAGCACTGTAAAGCAACTATTAATGGGATTTTACATTCTATTTTGTACTTTCTTTTCTTATCTTTTTTTTGAAATCTGGTATGTATTTTACACTTAACAGCACATCTCAATGTGGACCGGCCACATTTCAAGTAAGCCACATGTGGCTGGTGGCTACTACCCTCGCCTGTGCAGCTCTAAGTCTTGGAAAGTTAAAAAAAAAAAAAAAAAATCTTGTGTGTACAGAACAAGAATTTGAAAGGAACCCATCAAATAACCAGCAAAGAATTCCTACCCCCTGACAAAGGACATAATGATGTTTGCTTTCCTTAATAGGGGGGCATCTTCAACTTCTAATTTAAATATTTTGGGTCACAAGCTCTACACTGACTTCTCATACTTTGTATGAAATATTTTGTTGTGTTTATTGGATAAAAACAGTGACTGCTTCCTTTAAAAAGAAAAGTCGTGTGTGTGTGTGTAGGTGTGTGTGCATTCATATATCTTGAAGCATATAAATACGTGTGTATCACACACACATACACCCACATGTGTGTACCTGGATCTTTCTAATCCCCTGTTCTCCTTTCCTCCCTCTAATTAATTCTGGCTAATTTTTCAGTGAGTGCTAGTTTATTTGCAAACTGGTTGGCAGCAGTAGGCTTAAGTAGTCACTAATCGCTCCTAATGATAGTTTTATTTTCTGTTCATCTGATTTTCAGTCAAGTTAATTAAATCGGTGGAGGTTTAGACTTTCCTGATGGGCTACAACAAGTAATCCATTTTGATGATGGCCCATAATTAAATCAGCATGCATTACATGGCAAGGATGCTGTCCCTAGCATCTTCCCCCAATCTCCGTGGTCCGTATGGGAACCCAAGACCGGAGGGAGGGTTGGAGAGACAGGACGAACCAGCCCCTTTTCCTGCTTACAGAACAGTAATTTTGGTGTGGGGGAAAGAGTAAGAATCACATTCATTAAGAAAAACAGGCTGTAGTCTACCTCCCATTTGTAATTAGGCCATGGAGAGGACATAATTTTAAAGATCCAGTCCTCGTGTGCGATAAATGATCTCGGTTTCAAAATCCACACCAATATGGGTTAGGCGGGAAAATGCTTGTGCATCCTCCTCTCCAGTGAGAGGAGGAAGGTTATGTTCATTAAATAATGTCATCACCACCTTGCAAAGCCTGGGAACGAATTGGGAGTCTCCCAAGAGAGCTGCTTCTGAGAGCAGCTCCTAATCCACCGCCCCATCTTCCCCCAAAACCATCATTTATCATTGCCCCTGATTGTTTTTCTTGTTTGTTTATTTGGTGCATTTGAGAGGTTAAAAGCAGTGAAGGAATGGTCGGATAGAGATTGGGGTTAAGCTTATCGATTGAATTATCATTAGGAGGTTAGCCGATGATTTAGAGGTGGGCAACAGGGGTGGAGGAAAGGAAGGAAACAGTGGGAGGAAAGGTCAGGGGCTCAGGGTGCAAGGGGGAGGCCGCCGATTCCCCAGGTAGGCCTTATGAAAGGTAGCTAGTTAAAAAGCGTATACAGCAAATTAAATACATTATTGTGGTAATGGGGCGACAGAAGTATAGGTCTATTATACTTATGGCAGTTATAGGAAATGTAGGCAGCTTGCCCTGTTCCAGAACACCCTTTGATATTCATTCTATTCAGCAGCCGGGGCCAGGACTTCTCAGAATTAAGTGATGGGTCATTATACTTTAAACACCATGGAGAAGCCTAGATTGGCAATTAAACAGCTCTTGCTGACACTCACTTGTGCCACCCTGTGACCCCCTTTAGATTGAGATGTTGGAGCTCCGGGCCCTCAGCCTGCTAAATTGGTGCAAGGCTCTTCTCCTGACGAGAGCAGGCTCTGAAATCTGCCGGCTTCAAAGGGAGAGAGATCATGTATAAACCATAATGTGGGTGCACCGTGGCTCACAAAAAATAAGGCAGGAAGAGATGAAATGTTACAAGTGCAAGGGGGAAAATGAGAGAATAATGACAAACCTAATGCAACTCAAAGCAGGATTGTTGCACAGGAAAATGCATCCCACTGCTTGTGCATAAAATCAAGGCCGGCAGATGACATCCAGTTAACAGAAACGTGTCAACAGTGAAGTAAAGTGAGCGTGAGCAAGAGAGGAGCCCCTGAGACAGCCAGAAACAAAAATTAGTTGTCCTTAACAAGTTAAGGTTCATCATTATATTCTGGCTCGGAGCCATAAAAGCAGACGGGGGTATATAATGAGCTGCTTAGAATTTTTAGGGTGTTTATTGCATTTCATGAAATAGTTGTCTGCAGAAAGGAATTTCTCAAGCAGCGGTGTGCGTGTAGCCCCCCCCCACCCCTAACACCCCATTTCTTTCTCTGCTATCCATTTTTCAGGTAGATGAATGTGTTTGTAAACTTGGAAGTGTTCATTCCTCATGGCCTGTACTGGAAATTTGGCCCCACCCCAAAATGTGCTCAGACTGTGGTAGCTACCTGTGGTGCTTGGTGTGTGTGTGTGTTTGCGTGTGTGTGCGTGCCCATGCCTGCGTGCGCGTGCACACACACACACACACACACACACACACACACACCCCACACACATACACCATACACAACACAGTGTTTTTCTGTCTCTCCCCTGCTTCTCTCTCTCGCTCCCTCGCTCTCTCATGTCTGTACACATATTCTCATTCAGCAAGAAGAGAACATATGTATTTGAGGAATGTCAAGCCTTTAAAATTCACAGTAAAAGCTGCCAGTCCACCCACCGCTTCACCCAGGGGCTTCCAAGAACACATGTTCTTAACTTATGTTTCCTCAGAGGCCCTCATGCAGTGGAAGGAACAGGGTGTAACATGGGAGTCCAAGTGCCTTCTGAGGGCTCGCTTTTCATTTTCTCAGGGAAAGGGAATGGAGGTTGTTTGCTTGTTTTTTCCTTTCTCTTTTTCTCTTAGACTCTTTCTCTCCCTCCCTCCCTTTCATATACCCTAAAGGACTTACATGGTTCTTACTAAAAAATCATGTCATTGTTACCAAACTTTGATACTGGCTTAAATTTGTAAAAGGCAGTGGTGGGAAAGGGCCACATCAGGATGGAATTTCTGAGTCAAATGTCCCCACGGTGCATCTGGGCCCCTTCAGAAATCTGCCTTGTGCATTGGTATTTTCTCCATTGATCTACACAGATTCAGTTAGTTCATTTTTTTTTGCTTGTTTACCGTTTTTCAAATTAACATTTGCTACGTTATTTGGGTCAAATGGAAACTGTTTTCATCTCCAGTCCACATAAGGAAAAAGAACCTTGTGAATGCAGGATTCTCTTGAAATCACCATCTCGATAAACTCTTACTTGCACTTCCAGTGCCTACCAGAATTGGCTGCCCGTAGAGCAGGTCTTCATTCTCTGGATGCTCTGCGGGACTGTTTTGGTTTGGATTTATTAAGAAAGCATCAACTGCTCGATCTGGTTCTCCTTCCCCCGAACAGCGCTCCACTTGCTTACTTGCCCAACCTGGACAGGTTGGAGCCTGGAGGCCGCCATTTTGTTTTCTCTCGGGGTTCTCCCCTCACCCTACTATTCTGTATGGTAGTATATGTTCTTTTAAGAAGGGTGATTCTTCTAACCCTTTACAACTCATGGCAACTCCAGGCATATCAGAAAACGTGAAAGCTGTCTGATCCAGTTGTCACTTCACGTGTGGGCCAAGATGGGCATTTCAAAATTACCTCTTTATGTTCTGGTGCGTTTGCATGGTAGGGAAATGCTAATTCAGGGCCCAAGGGGGGTTTTCAAAGAACTTCCTTAAAAATGGACAGTATTAGAGGAGGAAACAACCTTGACTCATATAGTTACCACTTGGATAATCATTTAGAAGGCCTTTGAAGGCATAGGCAACCTATTAAGTAAACGTAATTTAGGAATCCTAGAATTACAGAGCAGGAGAGGGTATACACATCCGAATTCAAAGCTCCATTTATGTGTGTGTATAAAATACAGCTTTTTTTTTTTTTCATCTTTCCATAAGAGGGTATAAGCTTATTTAAAATATCTGTGGCTTATGATGAGACCCAGATAGGAAGTATTTGGATTTTCCCCATCTTTCTGCCTCACTTTCTCTCATTCCTGTCAAAACGGTGGGCCACATCAGCAAAAGAAAAAGAAAAATTTTATTGTACTCCATCAACAGAATATGGCCTAATGAGGCATGCACGGCATTGTCAAAAATGTGTACTTCAACCACGTTAATATTTTATTTAGCTGTCAATATGCAACAATAGATTTCACCTTTCATTCTAGAGCTGATTAGGACTTAGGAAATTGTCTTCTTAGATGCCACTAATAATGCTTCAAAAAACAACTGGACGTGTGATTTCCAGCAGGTAGTCTGAGCCTACTTTTCCACCCAAGTACATCCGTTGTATTTGTCTTTTGCTAAAGATGTGAAAAATCATAATGTCTCTTGTCAGTATCAATAATGAAGGGGAAGATTGGCTTTAATGACATTATGAGAATCATTATGTTTAATTTATCGCTAATTAATGCTGACAGGTTTCATATGCCCTGGGTTGCTTTCATGTGAGTGTTACGTGCTGGGTTTTTTGTTTTGTTTTGTTTTGTTTTTTAATTGTGTGTACACATCCCTCCCCATTCATTCATTTTGATTCTGACGATTTACACAGCTTCCTGTCTTCCAGGTTCCCTCCCCATATGGTCCCACCACATCACACTCTACATACGACCGGCATCCCCCACCCGGCCATAGTCACGCCAACAGTCAAACAGGAATCCTCCCAGAGTGATGTCGGCTCACTCCATAGCTCGTGAGTGTCGCTCTTTCGGTCGCTTTCTCTTCCACCATCTTGTCCAGCCCGCTGTTGATGCCTTGGCTGCTGGGTGGTGGCCCTGCCCGTGGTTGGCCATGGTGCGTGTGCCTCGGGGTGTACCTGTGTCCTTGGACAGACTGGGATTTGCAGCTGTGTCCCTGTCCCCAATCCATGACGGAACATTTGGAGGTCTGTCCCGGGAACACGAGAGACACTGGCCTAGGGAATCGTCCACACTGTGCTTTTCCCCTCTGGCTTGGGAAAATGGTGTGTCTGGGACACTCAAGGAGGTGACTACAAAATCTTTCTCTTCCCCCACACCCTCGCTACCATGTTTTTGTTCCGTTTTCCAGGGTGGAGAAGACCCAAAGTGGAAGCGTGCTTCTCATTCAGAACTGCTAGGTTTGGGTGTTGAGCAGCCGGGGAGCTGGGTGCTCTGCTGGGGAGGAAGTGGGACCTTGCAATTGTTTATGGGGTTGTGTCTCTGTTCTGTCTATATCCAGAAAGCATCAGGACTCCAAAAAGGAAGAAGAAAAGAAGAAGCCCCACATAAAGAAACCTCTTAACGCGTTCATGTTGTATATGAAGGAAATGAGGGCAAAGGTCGTGGCTGAGTGCACGTTGAAAGAAAGTGCGGCCATCAATCAGATCCTGGGGCGAAGGGTAGGTCTCTCCCTCACTGGGAAGAGGGGGTGGCATGGCACGGTAGCCCCGTCCCTTCAGTCACGTGCTGACTTCTGCAGTGGCCTTCATGGAGGCATGACCAGAAAGACCTTCTCCACACCCGCCGCCATCCTCTCGCCCAGAGAGAGAGCCAGGGAGGGAGCTGACAGATGAGGTTTTGCGTGCCAGGACCCTGCCGAGCAGACCCATCTCTCAGCCCCGGCCACAGGGTAGTTCGTGATGTTTTGCCTGCCTCTGTGTCCCCTCCAGTGGCACGCACTGTCCAGAGAAGAGCAAGCGAAGTACTACGAGCTGGCCCGGAAGGAGCGACAGCTTCACATGCAGCTGTACCCTGGCTGGTCTGCGCGGGATAACTATGTAGGTGTTCATTTTTCTCAGAACTAGAGTCTGTAGAGGTGTGTTGGGGGTTCCCCTGCCCAAAGGGCATGCTACCTGCCACCTGGAATCGGGCCTCAGAACCGTACCGTCTGCCCACTGCTGGGACCAGGGGCAACCTGTCCGAGCACCAGACTGGGGGGCGGGGGTTCTTGTCCTGGCTTCCAGTATGGCTCCATCAGCAGGCCAGAGTTCTTCAAGGAGGAGGGAGGAGGCCAGTGTTCCATTGTTCCAGCCCAGGACGGTGGGATTGACTTGGGGGCTGTCCACACCTTCTTGCCCAGGTCTTTGTAAAGACAAGGCTCTAGGATATGCCTCAGGGGGCTTCTGTGCTTCTCAGCAGGGGTCCCACGGGTCCTGACAGGGCAGGCCTCGGTGGAGAGAGTTTAATTCCTCCCAGGCCTTCCAGCAGCGCCTTGGCCCTTAAGAGGGAGAAAAGGAGCAGTTGCCCTACGCTGTGGTGCAGGACAAGTTGGAAAAGCTAGTTCCTGCTGAGTGAGAGGGGCATGGGGGGAGGACCCCTGCAAGCAACTAGGGGTAGTCTTCCTCTGGTGGGGCGCAGGAAGTGCCCTGGGGCCCCGGAAGGGTCGGCAAAGGGTCTGCGCCGCGTGAGGTGTCTTCCTGGGCTCTGTGTTGACTGCAGGATTTGCCTAATTTCCTTCCTGGGGTTTTGGGAAGCACGGCAGGGTTGTTGTTTTCACTAATCACAGTGGCCGTGACACCCAGCATTCCTGCCCTCTCCCGACCTTGCTGTCCTCAGGAGACCCCTAGTCTCCTCTCCCTGTCATTTCTTGTTCACATTTTGCCCCACAGCCTTCTGGGCTGGCTCTCCTCTCTGTGGATGAGCTGTCTCTTACTTCACCTGGTACTTTGATTCCATGGCACTGCGTTTTATAAAGTGATTTTTAACCATTCACTCTCTAGGCTGGTGAAGGCAAAACTCGCCTTGATACCAGCAGTGGGCTTCTCCTCCCGTCTCTGGTCAGTGGCGTGGAGCCCCGCCCGCGCTCCTGACGCAGCTCTCCTGTGCACGGCATCGTGGTGATGGCGCTCTCTGTATGCGGGCTGAGATCAGTTCAGTTAGTGCTGGTGCTGAATGTGCTGTGGGGCTTCAGAGTTAAATCAGGCACGTCGACTCCCAAAACTTACCTGCCATCGGGGAGCCGCGGAAGGCGCGGGAATCGGTGGGTCCCGGGCGGATGCCGCCTTTGCCGGCTCTCGCTCTTTCTCGTACCTGTCAACCTGTGCGTGCCAGTGTGCCCTTCCCTGTGCAGAGACGGGGGTGCGGAGAACACAGACTGCTGGGCTTCACCCCCGCGTCTTCATCTCTGCCCCCAGCCGCCTCCCTCTGGGTCCCAGTGGCCTTGGCTGGTGGCACGAGGCTCTGGTCCTCCTGGGAGTTGAAACAGGAATCAGTGCTGGTACCTGTCACCGGAATGTTCGCTCTGGTCAGGGCCCTTGTCACTCACGGATGGGCACGCACCGGGTCTGAGCTGCTTGGGACCTTTCCATTGGTCCTCAGCATGTGTGCCGTGGGGAAGCCTTTCTTCTGGAGCGGACAGGAAGACGATGAGAAAGTGAATGCTCTCCCACAGGCTTGCTGCTAACCTCCCCCCGCCCCCCACCGACCTCGAGGTGGAGATTTCCAGCAGCAGGCCAGCTCTGGGGCCTCTGCGTGCACAGCCATCTCATTTCAGGACACTGTTTTCCTGGTGTCGGGTCAGAAGCTCTTAGAGTTTACCTCCACCTTCTACCTGCTGTAGACCTAAGTCTTTGAGTGATCTAGAATGGTACCACAGAGAGGAATTCTGCTCCACTATAGATATCATATATCCCCAACAGACACGGGGGTCACGGGAGGGCCTTCATGGACAGCTTTGCAGGATGTGTACCGCACAACTCTAGGGAGTGCCATTTACCCTATGGTCTATGTGTATGGTGCCCTCTGGAGTTGTGCAGGGGGAGATCTCCACAGAGATACAAGGCCAACTTTGTGATAGCTTCAAAAGAATGCTGCCATTGACTTGCCTGGGAGTCAGTTAGACAGGCATTGCCCCGGGCTTTTTGTGAAGTGCTTTCTAGGTTTTAGAAGGTCCACGAGGCACTTAAAGTGACTTTGGCTCAGCTTCACATTCAGGAGAAGCTCAGTATAATAGGGGAACCTCTGACAAGACTTGAGAGAAAGTTTAGAGGTAGATCGAGATTTAGGACTGAAGGAACTTTATCTCTTATACACGGTACTTTCTGACTCCTGTCACCATGGCTCCTTACACATGAGTGTGAACACACACACGCGCTCCTCCCTCCCTTCTTCCCTCCCTTTTGTGCCCCAGGATACGGTCTGTGGAGCAAGGGTCAGAGTTCAAGGTCTTATGGGTTTGACTGTGGTGGAACTTGTCGGGTTTGGGGATTTTTCTTAGCTGACTCGACATAGGAGTTTCTGTACATTACTTTGGTCGTTGTAGAGTCCAAAAGGTTCTTCTGGGAAAAGTTTTCTGAGCTGACTTCATGCCTCTTTCATGTTCCTGCTTTTCCAGTCAAGTGGTAATGGAAGCCTTAGCAAAATAGAATTGAATAAAACAATCACCTTTGGGTTGTTGGACTTGGCACCTTCTGGGGGCACAGGAGAAAACAGTTTGGTCCCGTCCCGTAGTGCTGTCTAACCCCTGGCATTGTATTAGAACACTGTTGCCTTTCCAGCTCTTCCAGATTAGATAAAGGACACAAATCCTAAGCCATTGCTCATCTTGAATTCCCCACCCCCCACCTCCGTATTTAGGCTTTTTCTTCTGTTACATCTAAGAAGATAATGGGGTGGCTGTCCGCTCTTGAGACATATGTCCCTCTTCACTAAAGAATGTTTATTAAGCTTCTTCTTGTCTTCTTCTGATTAAAACATAGTCCCTGTCCTTTAGAAGCCTTCAGTTTAAATAAGCCTTTCCTCAGTCATGAACATCTCAGTTAGATATCCTAAACTGACAGCTTCCCATGGGGACTGGAACTTTCGACTTGCCTTTCAGAACATATTGAGGGCGATGGGAAATGGGTGAGCACTGTATTAAACCAGAGGGGACTGAGAATCCGTTGGGTGTGTGGATGCCAACACTGCCCAGAGTCACCACGGTTTTCTGTGCCCAGCTGAGTGTTCACTCAGGCTCCTAAATTGAAACTAGCCCCTCCTGCCTTTTCCAAGATGGCCAGGCAGCGCATTGCTGCTCCCCTAGGAGAGGCACAGACGTGAAGATGGGCTACCAAGGCTCACAAGAAGGCCCCATGAGCTCCTTTTATTTTCTTATTTTTACCTTGTTTACCAGGGCCCGCCTGGGTGGCTCAGTCGGATAAGTGTCCGATTCCTGGTTTCCACTGAGGGCGTGATCTCAAGAGTCGTGAGATCAGATCGAGCCCCACATTGGGCTCTGCGCTCAGCGGGGAGTCTGCTGGGAGATCCTCTCTCTTTCTGCCCCTTCTCCCACTCACGCGCGTGCATGGTTAGGCACACTCTCTCCAATAAATAAATACAAAATCTTTAGATTGTTTATCAAGGAATATAGTATGTATCACAATGTTGCAAACTCAAGGCCAAGACAAACTTCCCAAATGGTATGGGCCTCAAGATCTGAGAGAAAAGAGGGGCTTTCTGAGACAGGTGGCTTGCAGCCCTTGGATGGAGCCAAAACCACGTCTTCTCCACCTTGAGGTTCTCCTTACAGGGCCTTATGGGTTGTCAAGTTGACCCCCGTCACTGTTGGTTTCCCTTCCGGAGTTGATGTCAACATACCATGAGAACTTTAGGCAGAGGCGATATTTAGATGTTCGGAAACAGATAGACATGTAGGCCAGTCCTTTTGTTTGTATCATTTCATACGTACCCAGCATCTGACCCCGATGGATAAGACCAGCACTGACAAGCTGAGAGAGAACTAGTTTCAGATCTGCGGGGATGCAGTCAGCTCTGCAGAGCTCGTCTCTGTTCCCATGCCACATCCCAGCCACAAGCAGACAGTAAAGGTACCAGGTTGGAGAATGTGAATGACCCCATGCGATCCATCCCCTGTAATCAATTAAAAACCTTCCTGGGAGAGCAAGGGATTAAATATGCAGGTCGCGCAGCCTAGGAGGTAAGGGCTGTGGAGCCAAGACCTCCTGAGTTCCCATCCTGGCCCCAGCATTTGGAGCTGTGTGGTGTCAGGGAAGTCACATAACCCCTCTGTGCCTGAGTTTCCTCCTCTGTAGAATTGGAATGGTGATAGTCCCTGTTGTATAGGATTGTGTGAGGGAAAAACGCGTCAATATGCATGGCGCACCTAGAGTCATGCCTGGCGCATAGTATGTGCTCAGTAAATGTTAGCTGTTGTTACTAGTAAAGCCCCAGTTAAAGCTTTTGGTTTTTGATTGAGTAGGAGGGCCTTGTGGCCTTAATAAGGAAGAGATTTGCATGGAGCAAGGCGGGGGGTGGCTTTCTTAGTCCACATGGCCATGTCCACAGTCATTTGACACTTGGCTCTGGGCTCTTGGACCACTCCCAGCCCTGTCTCTCCACACCTCCCTAAATATTCCTTCATCAGTTCTCTTCTCCCCTTTGTGGAATCAGATGCTCTGGGTCAGGTTTGAGGATGGACAGAGGTGTGTGGGAAAAGAGGTCTTTCCTTCACCCCCTGCTGACCCCTTCTCTTCCCCTTGCTGAGTGTGTGCCCCTCTAGCTGAAGCACAACTGAAGGGCATTTGGATTAAAAGGGGGGGGGTTCAAAAACACTGTGGGAGCCATGGGTGTGGACGGAGACAGAGGAGTGCTCCCCTCCTCCAGCCTTCTCCTTTCGAGGTGAGCCCAGACGCCCTCCTCCCATCTGTTTCCTGCAATAATTCCTCGTGTTTCATCTGTTCGTCTAGGGGAAGAAGAAGAAGAGGAAAAGGGACAAGCAGCCCGGAGAGACCAATGGTAAGTTAGACTAAGGAGGAAGGAGGAAGGAGCGGTACTATGAGGACCACTCTTTGACCTTAGATTTCTGTCTGGGGGAGGCAGGAGAAATTCAAGGCCAGGACATTGTGGGGGAACCCATCTTAGCCAGCCTTCTTGTGTATGCATTTTAATTAATTGCTTCATGACTGCCCTTTTGAAGCTAGTAACATTCATTGTTGCATGAAAAGCACATTGTAATTCTAGTGGAATGTGTTTTTAAATAACCGCAGAGCCTGTAACGGGAGGGTGGTAGGCATGCCTATGCGGGATTTATGCAGTCTGCTTATTTTGTCTACGTCTGTAGGGATGAGGAAGGGGCCGGGGGGAGTAGGCGGGGTGTGTGTGAGTGTTTGATATTAACTGGGCTGTTCCTGAATGTTCTGATGCATGCCTTTACAGTGGTAAATTGCACCCAATTTAAATTAAGGAGGTTTGTCATTCTCTAGGAGAAATTAGAAATACTGCATAGGCAATATCAGAAGGTCCCCTTGGAGAAGGCCAGGCTTTTACAAACGACAACAAAAATTTTGAAGGCTTTGTATAATTTGTTCTTTTTTTTCAGAACACAGCGAATGTTTCCTAAATCCTTGCCTTTCACTTCCTCCGATTACAGGTGCTAATGTCATTTTGAGTCATTAAAATAGTCGATAAACTGTTTTTTTAATTTTTCTTGCCATTATAGTTTTATTAACATTAAACACGTATGACATTTGAACATCCTTTAAAATGACCATCTACACGGTTTCGTATGTTTCGGTAGATTTTTTTTTTTCAGTTGTTTTTGTTGTTTTTTTTTTTTTAATTTGATTTAACTTTCGCTTTGTTTATTTATTTATTTATTTTTCCCATAACAGTTGTTTAAGCAGTGATGACAGTGACTTAGTGTTGAACTAACTGTGCAAATTGAATATGCAGTATTTCTTTAAAAGAGACTGGTTAAAAAAAAAAAAAGCAAAAACCAACCAAAATGGAAGGAATTCAGTAATAAACCTCCTTAATCTAATGGCATTTTCCGTTGCTCCCACTAAGTTTTCTCACGCAAGCATGCATTCGCAGTATGATTATTTTCTCCTTCGCTTTTTTTTATTTTAGTTTTTTTCTTCCTTTTGCTTTCCTGCTCCTAATTTGCAAATCCACTAGCATTTTACTGACTGTACCTGCTTAAAAGCTGCTATGAGCTTCTGACTAACCCTGACCAGCTCATTCACACTGCCTGTTCACCTTCATCTGTTCTTCTGTTAGTAGTCATGAAAATCGGTTAAAAAAAAAGAAAAGAAAAGAAAAACATTTCAAAAGCTGCAATATCCCAGTACCACAACCCCCTTTTCTTTCTTTATTTCTTTCTGTTTTGTTTCATTTTGTTCTGTTTTTATTTGTAGTTTTTTTTTCTTTTTTAAACTGTTGTACTCTGAGAAGAAAAAAGCATGTTACAAACTTAATTCCCTCCTTCGCTTTATTTTCTTCTTTAAGAAAAACAAACTGAGAGAGCTAGAAAAAAAAAAAAGAAAAGCAGAACCAAAAGAAGAAAAATATTATTTAAAAATTTAGTTTTTTCAGTATCTGACTTCCCTTTATCCACTCAAAACGAATCGGAGAGACAGTCCTTAAAGAAGGGATACTGCAGCTTTATTTGCAACAGCTAATTTCACCCGTTGAATAAGAATGTGATTTTTTTCCTTTTTTTTTTTTTTTTAATTAAAGAAAGTTAAAAAATCGAAAGTCAATATTTTGTAATTAGTAACCAGGTCATTGATTTATTCCCTTTTTTATTTTTATTTTTTTCTTATTTGTATCTCTCTCTCCCCCCCTCCCCCCCTCTCTCTCTCCCTCTCTCTCTCCCACGTCCTCCTCTGCTCGCATCTCTCTTGAACTCATTCAGACCTGAGCGCTCCTAAGAAATGCCGAGCGCGCTTTGGCCTTGATCAACAGAATAACTGGTGCGGCCCTTGCAGGTGTGTATAGATTTCCCAGATTCGCTGTGCTGGTCTGCAGCTGGTCTATTCGATCCTTTCCCCCCTCCTTCTCTGGCCTGTTGCTTTGTAGCTCTGTGTGTGGATCTTAGGAGACATGAGGGTGCGGGACACTGCTCTGTGAGGGACGTGCTTGTTCTCCCCGCTGCTGCTAGCCAAAATGCCACTGTAAAACAGCATCATTCGTGCCTCCTCGGGTCAGCGACAGCCAACCCCAGCGCGCCCCCTCCCAGGGAACGTTGCCTGCCAGCCCCCTTCCTCCTGACCACCCAGGATGGGGCCCAGTGACATCCATCGTAACCCTGGCCTAGGTAGAAGCAAACAACAGCGTCACCTCTTCCCTTCCTCCTCTCTTCTATTTTTTAATTTATTTTTCCTTGTTGTTTTTTGGTTTCTGGTTGTTGTTTTTGTTTTGTTTTGTTTTGTTTTGTTTTTTGGTGCGTGTTTTATCGTTTTGTTTTATTTATTTATTTTTTCTTTTGCCTCATAGCAGTCTTTTCCTTTCATGTCCTTGGTGAGGGAAGACGATCATAGAGAGCTAAGGTCATAGAGAAGGCAAGTGAGCAGTAGCTGAGATTTCACATCCAACTGAGCATGACCCACCATCGTGTTGTATTTTTTGTGTTTACTTATGCTAACAGATGCAAATACTCCAAAGAAGTGTCGGGCACTGTTCGGGCTTGACCGACAGACTTTATGGTGCAAACCGTGCAGGTATATGACCACTGTGAGGCCTTTGGGAAAATCAAAGCACTCTGTCCTTCTGCTACCTTAGTGTGTTGATGTATTTTGACCTCGTTCCCATCCACTTCCCTCCCGGCATCAATGACTAATGATCCTCATTCTTCAAAATTTCCTTGCTAATTTTATGCCGTATCCTCTCCCCACTTTCTCTTTCTCTCTTTCCCCCTTGCTCTTCCGAGTAACATATCCAGATCCCCGATGGTAGGACGGAGACCACACCCTTAACAGACCAGGACGGGCACTTACCCTTTTGCTTTGCAAGCCAGCATCCTGGAACGGGCCCGGTCTGTGGCATATATGCTGAGCCTAGATAGAACCACCGTTTCCAAAGGTTTGAATGAGCTAAAAAAAAAAAAAACTTGGCAGCAAGGGCCATTCCCACGTACTGGAGAGTCAAGACACTTGGAGAAGGGCTCTGGGGCAGGCGTTTTTTGGTTCTGTTCTGTTTTGTTTTTCTTTTATGTTGATAAACCACATGTCTCTGGACAGAGGAGCCCGGTTAGCTGACATTGTTTTACAGTGCTGAAAAGAAGCGTGGCATTGAACGGCATGCACCAGCTGAAGGGCTACAAGCAATGAGTCATGCAGTCCTGTACTGCAGCGTTGCTAGCCTGCGGAATTACACATATATATATTGCATATGTTTAGAGAGAGAGCGAGCGAGCGAGAGAGCATTGCTTCCAAAATGAACTAGAAGAGTCCAAATTGAACACCCGCGTTCCACGTGCAGGTTTCCATCCAACCTGTAATTTCAGGGAAGCCGTAGGTACTTCCTTCTTGGTGGAGGGATACCGACTCTTTCCTGTCTCATTTCCTTTCCTTTAATGACCACCTTTGGTTAAATTTGTTGTTTCTTTGTTCTGATACAAGCAGTCTTTGAATTTGGAATATTATGATGGTAGGTATCTCAACACCCCCAAACACACCTCCCTGTTTGTAGTGCCTCCCTGTCACGTGTCCCTCTCCTTCATGCCTTTGCCGTGTGTTCCGTGTTTAGACATTAGATCAGATGTCCATCCCATCATGTGCATGCCCACGAGTCTCCTGTGTCTCTTACCCTCCCCCTGGTGCCTTACGAGGGATTGGCCAAGTGCCTCAAGTTGGCCAGACGTTGAGGGGAGAGAGGGCCTGAGCATCTTTATTGAGGGAGAACTCCACAGACAGCCCTCTCTGCCCGTTGAGTGAGGGTTCCAGGCCTGGAGAGAGATCCTCCAGTCAGTCGTTCATTCTGTGAGATGGCCGTGTTCACGGAGGTGACAGATATCCTTTCGGCACAATCCCGGGGTCTTCTCTGTGCCACAGAAAAGAGTTTCATGAGGAGGTAGATGAAGAATGTTAGGGATTTAAGTAGGCCTACCCAGGGAAGACAGGTCTAGGCAGTGAGTTTGTGGCAGAATCTCCTCCATGCTGAGGAGGAAGATGATTAGCTGCAGAATACCATGGGGAAGGATTTCGCTTAATCGCAGGGCTCACTCCTGAGCAGGTTTCTCATGATCTCTAGAAATGTATGGCTGAGACCATTGTGGCCACCTCGCAATATGGTGTGTTGCCGGATTTGTGTCTATTTTATTTGTGTGTGTGGGGGGGTGAGTGGTGGTTTATGAACGTCCCCCTTTTTTTTTGTTTCGGAAGCATTTGCTTCAAGTTAAACTTGACATTTTTTTTCCCCCTGAAAGTTACCATTCCTAACATTGACGGGGATGGACGTCCCCTTCTCAGACACAGCCTGCACCTTGTTTAAAGCCAGGGTATGGGATCTGCCTCAGAGGCCAGAAGTTTCATGACATTTTTACAAAAAACAAGAGCAAAAACCAAAATCTTTGTAGCTGCTTCATAAGCACGATTTTCAGAAAGCACAGCTCTGAGGGGCCAGCTGTCAGCATGGCGGGCTGGTGTCCCTCATCATTGCTCAGCGTCCTTCCCACCCTGACACCATTAGAATGTTCCTGGTGGCCACTTTGCTTCTTCGGGGGGGGTGTTTCTCAGACCCTGAAAGCATCAGCAGATGCATTTTAGCTCACTGAAGGGTATAATTCCAAAACAGGATCAGGAAGAACCCTTAGTTTTCCTTTCAGAATAAATCCATGAGAAGCTAAAAGTGGAATTTTCAGGGGCCACCCCTTGGTTGGAAATGGAGCCTGGGAGGGGGAGGGTAAGCAGATGGGTTTTGCCCCTTTTTTCCTCAACTTTTCCTCTTTGCCAGGATTTGGCTTGGTGCTAAATCAATAGGACACAATGTGCTTTAAAAAGAAAGGCAAGCAGTTACACAATGAGGCATCTTCCAGCCCGTCAGGAGTGTGTGTTCCAGCTGCCTTTTGCTCAGCCACCTGTTAGAAGGAGTGTCTCGCTGTGCTTCATAGTCTTCGTGTCCCGTGTTCAGAAGGCTCCCACTCACCCCCTCGAAGTGGAAACCTCCGTGTCATCAGGAGGGCGGGCGGGTGAGCGGAGCGGCACGTGCGCTCCTAGCCAATCAGGACTCCTTGCTCGCTACAAAGGGTTTCTAATTTTATTTGACATTTGAGGACATTTTAACAAGATTCTGTTCTGAGCCCACCAAGTTGCTTTCCCATCTTTTTACTCTGCCCTAATATAGCATGGAATGCTGCTTGCCGTCACCCCCTGTCCTCTTGCTCCTCCTTTCCTCTCCCCTCCTCGCTCTCTCCTTTGTCCTTGTCACTCTCTCACTTTTGCTTATGCCCCGCCCCCATCCCCACCCCTCCCTTCTCCCATTTTTTAAAATGCATGGACATCTTAGTTTTTTAAGCATGTTTTGATCTGCAGGCTAAGGTGGTTTAAAACTCGGAGAGGCTTAATTATGTATCTTGGTTTCTGGGATGGGAGCAGAACCCACCGTCTGTTTCAGTCTATCCCAGAGGAGAAAGGGAACCTTTCCAAATTGAAGGTGAGGGGGGCTGCCCTTGCACCCCTAGAGTTCCTTTCCACCCAGTGGGTAGTCGGGTAGACCCTGAGGCCTCCCCCTGGTGGGTCTCAGCCTCTGGGAGGCAGGGAAGGCCAAGCATGTTTCCTCCCACCCGCCCTCCTGCCATCTTGCTGAGTCCACACCCCGCGCACGGAGGGGCATGAGCAGACACCTCTGGGGCACAGACCCAAGGAGGAACTCATTACAGCTCCTTCCTTTCAAAGGCCAGTGACATCTGACCCCAGGCAGCATCTTAAACTGCTTTCCAGGAATGGGAAGCCGGCCGGCGCTTACACAGTTGTTTTTAGACAGAGTCCCATCCACCATGGTTTTACCTGTGTTCAGGGCTCCTTAGGTCAGCACACTCCCTGTGTCTGCGTGATTTTTATTGCATGAGTCGGGTTGATTCCCAGGATCACCTTTCCTAGTAAATATCCTCCCCATCGGACTGGGATTAATAGGAGGAGAAGCTTTGAGGTCACATGCTCAATTTCTTGAATCGACTTCCCCAACCTTTGATGATGAGCAAGAGAGTCTCTGAAATCCTCATTCCTATTTCTTATGCAAACGGGAAATGTAGAGGGGAGATTCTGGTTTGGGTGCAGGGCAAACTTAGTCCTTCCGGCTTAAACACTGATCACCGTAACCCGACCCCACCAGTCCCGTGCTGTGATCTCCCACCTCCCCACCCCCGCACTTCTTCTTTGTCGTCACTTCCTTGTGACACGCTGCGCCCTCCATTCACGGCCTCGGCCGAGTGACCAGGACAGGGTGCCCCTCCAACCCATCCTCGCTGTCTCTCCTTCCAGCCTTCTCACTCTGGGGTGGGGGAGGGGAAGACCCCAAATCTTAAAAAAAAAAAAAAAATCAAGTTTGAATCATAATTTAATCCACAACCTGCAGGCCATACAACCAGTTATTCTTGTTCCTTTGGATCATTTTCTGTTTTTCTTATTCTTCCCCCTCCCCCACCTTTGTTTATCCTCTTCTACCTGTTTTTGGTGGTTTTTTTGTTTTTGTTTTCGTTTTATTTTTTGTTTTTGTTTTGTTTTTAAATTTCTTTTGTTTTATTTTTGTTTCCCCCCTTATCCCCTCCCCTTCTCACCTGATTCTGACCTCTCTTGATTTGGTGTGGTTCTTAACAGACAAAGCCCGAAAGCTCTCTGGGCGCCGGCAGCCTGGCGGTGGTGGTGGTGGCGGTGGTGGTGGCGGTGGTGGCGGTGGCGGTGGTGGCGGTGGTGGTGGTGGCGGCGGTCGCGGCGGCGGTGGCGTTGGTGGTGGCGGCGGCGGCGGTGTGGGTGTGAAAACCTCTAAGCCCCTTGTTAGCACTGCCTTCAGCTCTGTGGGTGGGCTCAACAGTCAGCATTTTGAGAATTTCATACGGACAGGCGGCGCCTGGGGAAGGAGCTCCCTTTCTCTTACACACACGCGCACACGCGCACACACACACACACACACACACACACACACACACGCCACTGGGAGTAGGGTGCTAGCGGCGGGAATGCAGGGGAGATGTGATGGGCAAGCCAGGGAGTGTCTAAGCCGAAAGAGAACACACTTCGCAGTTGATCTCGGCGTGGACGCAGCCACTTTGCGGCAAACAGGCGCTGCCTCCTGCAGTCGGCTCCCTGGTATCGGGGCTGGGCTGGGGTCGCGGGCGTGTAGCGGGGCCGGGTTGGGCGGGGGGAGCAGGTAGGTAGGGGGCTGGGCCTCGACTCCCACGCCGTGGTTCGGCCCGGCAGGCTTAGATGGGGCGGGGGGGCACAGCCAAGTGAGCGCGGCCCCCTGGCCACGGGGCGTGCGGGCTCTGGGGGCAGAGGGGACTTCAGCGCGCCTCTGAGCAGTAGGTAACTCTCTCCCTCGGCATCTCTGCCCTTTATTCACAGATAACTCTCTCCCCCTGTTTCTAGGAGAAAAAAAAAGTGCGTTCGCTACATACAAGGTGAAGGCAGCTGCCTCAGTCCACCCTCTTCAGATGGAAGCTTACTAGACTCGCCTCCTCCCCCCCCCCACCCGCTAGGCCCCCCCCCCCCCCCCCCCCCCCCCCCCCCACCTGCCAAGCCCCCCCCCCCCAAGACGCCAAGTCACAGACTGAGCAGACCCAGCCTCTCTCGCTGACCCTGAAGCCCGACCCCCTGGCCCACCTGTCCATGATGCCTCCGCCGCCCGCCCTCCTGCTTGCCGAGGCCGCCCCCGGCAAGGCCCCCGCCCTCTGTCCCAACGGGGCCCTGGACCTGCCTCCCGCCGCTTTGCAGCCGCCCGTCATGCCCTCGTCCTCTCTCGCACAGCCGTCGACATCTTCCTTACATTCCCACAGCTCTCTGGCCGGGACCCAGCCCCAGCCGCTGTCCCTCGTGACCAAGTCTTTAGAATAGCTTTAGCTTCGCTAGCCACCCCCACTTTGGTTTGCGTAGTGTTGCGGTTTTCTCGGCTTTTCTTTGTACCCCCCCACCCCCACCCCCTTGGAAAGGTTTTGTTTTGTACTCTTTTAATTTTGTGCCACGTGGCTACATTAGTTGATGTTTATGGAGTTCATTGGTCAATATTTGACCCATTCTTATTTCAATTTCTCCTTTTAAATATGTAGATGAGAGAAGAACCTCATGATTCTACCAAAATTTTTATCAACAGCTGTTTAAAGTCTTTGTAGCGTTTAAAAAATATATATATATACATAACTGTTATGTAGTTCGGATAGCTTAGTTTTAAAAGACTGATTAAAAAACAAAAAGGAAAAAAAAGAAGCAATTTTGAAGCAGCCCTCCAGAAGGAGTTGGTTCTGTATTATTTGTATTAAATACGAGCTTGCGAACCAATCATTTTACATCTGGTTTTTAAACCATAAGGGCACAACGAATGCAGTGCCATATTCCTTTTTTTTTTTCTCTGTGTGAAACAACTTTAATTGTGATGTTACTTGTTATTGTTTAAATGTACAGAAACAAAGGGTTAAATGTGTTAATATACCTTGTTCCATGGTGTTGTTCTTTTTGGGGGGGGGGGTCCTACTCAACAATTAATGGAATCACAACGCTGTTGGACCAGTAGTATTTATTGCTTTAGAGATTGCTCGTCGAACCTGTACGTTGTCCCTTTTAAGATATGTTTTCCTTTTTCTTGAAACTGTATAAAGTTTTTTTTCCCCTTAGCATAAGCATCTTATATATAACAACTCATTTGTACAAGGTTTTTAAGTTTATATATAAAATGTGTATATATATTTTTTTGTTTCTCTTTTTGACTTTTTTTTTTTTTTGGCTGTATGAAACCCAGATGCCGCCAAATGGACATTACTAGTTGCATTAAAGGATCAGTAGCATTAACAAAAGTTGCTTTAAAAGCCATTATGTAAACCAAGACTTGAAAATTAGCGAGGGAATTTTAGTGACGCCGTGTAAGCAGCAGCGGGAACCACCCTGTTTCCCCTTCGAACTCAGAGTCGGCAGCTCTGTACCCTTAGGACACGGCCTGACTGTGTGCAAAACTTTATGTGCCAAAATTCTCAGTGACTTTAGCTTTCTCCCTCTTTTTGATGCTGTAATTTTTGTTCATCATGTTTTGCTGTGATGTTACATAGGTAGATTTGTATGTAGTTTTAATGTCACCTATAACAAGATGTGTTTGGTAGCAGATTGTCCAGAAAGCATTTTAAATGAAGAGGTATAAACCCTTAGGGGCCAAAAATTCTGTATATTAGATTACTCTTAAAGGAAAAACCAGCTGCCGCTTTTATGTACACGTATGACATACAAGGAGGTGGCAAACTTTACAAATAAAAAAAAAAAACCTAGGCATGTTGATGTTGCAAAATGCTGTATAAAGCTGAAACCTGTTCATTCAGTGCCATTGTAGTTGACATGAAGCGATTGTAAAACTGTCTCCAATTTTTCTCTGGTTTATTAAAATGCTAACTATAACATTTTTTGTGAATACTTTGAATGTTTCCTAACAGTTGTGATGTTACTGTTCCGTTTTATGCTCTTATTCCAATTTCATTTTTAATGGTTTGGAAGCCATTTTTGTAATGAATAAATGTTCATGCTGTACAGTATCTGTAGCATGCCGTTCTGGATTAATAAAAGCAACTTAGTATGTGCAGATCAAGGCTGGTCACTTGTTTCTGTGATTTGGATTTTCTGCCTTGGGGGAAGCCGTACCTGCCTCCTTGCGAGAGGACCGTCCTCCGGAGCTGGAACTTAAGACCAGACCACAGGGTTGGTATGGGCGGTGGGTTGGGACTTGGATATCCAAAAGTGGTCTTGCACTCTTTTCGTGGGTGGTTTCTGTGGTTTTTTTTTTCTTTCTCTCATTCTCGACGCCTGTTGGGCACACCTGTGTACCGAGTTAGTTCGTTTCTGAAAGCAGAGCACAGTGAGAGAGTCCCTGTCCCACTTCTGACTATAAAACAATCATTTCGTAGATGTTAGTTGGCCTTCGCTCACAGTATCCAGCTTTAGAAAGGGCTGAATTCTGGTTAAGGACACTTAGTTCCCCAGGAATGGATTTAAGACACCACATTGTTCCCATTGAAGGACCACTGATGTGGAAGGATTCTGACTTCTTTCTAAGAGTCGCCCGCAGGGAGAGGTGCCAGGGTGTCAGACTGAAAACCTTTCTCTGACCGCGAGCGGATGTTGAGTAAGAAGGTATGTAGAAAATCGGATCAAGGCGAATCACTTAGCGGCTTGTATGGAGGAATCTTGCTGTGTGTGGGACTCAAAGTTCTGTGGCTGTACCCTGGGAAGGGTGCAAGTTCATCATCACCACCACCAACCAGGGGCCACAGTAAAGATCTTCCTGAGGTTTCCACTGCGATCATTTCTCAGGCTGATTAGGATGGATGGGTGCACGGGAATGCCCCAGCTATCCGAAAGGTCGTGTAATGTCCCTTTGCTTTGACGAAAGACCTATGTTAGCCCCTGTTTTCACGACCTGAAAGAAATCCGAAGAGGATTTTTGGTTTTACCAGAAAAAGGTGAAAAGCGAAAATAGCATTGAGTATGTGTCTTGCAGCGAGCGGGTACAGAGGCAGCGTGCCCTGGGCCAGCGGCGGTGGCCCCAGGAGCCTCACTCAGCATCTCGGCGTCCAGCTGGCAGAAGTCTGAACTGGGTCCCTGCGAGTCTGTGCTTACCTCGATTTATTTTGTGCGTCCGTAAGCAGGGTGTCTGATATCCTAAGACACCACACAAGGCTTAAAGGAGGTTATTTTGGGGTCTGGGAATGCTCAAAAATTTTCCATATAAATTCACGGCAATTCTTCTTCACTTTACACCTGGATTTCTGCTTACAAAAGATTCCCTGTGAACGCTCTACATTCGGATGGCGGGGGAAACCTGTGTTAGGTTCCACTTTTCTAGGACAACTGTACCTCCAAAGGACACAATTTCGATGGGCCTGGAAGCTGTTCGTGTTGTTGTTACTTAAGGCTACACAGGGTTGTCATCAAGGACTTTGAAGCTCCTTGGAAGCTGTGCTTTGCTCAAACTAGTTTTTGTTCTGTAAAAATCTCAGTATTTTGTTTTTGTTTGCTTTTGTATTCCCAGAGAGGAGTGATTCTGGTTGTCCTTCCCCATTTTATTTTGTACACTGGGCCCAGAGTGACCTTTGGAAAACACAAATTAGAACGGTATCTGTTCTCGGTGGCCGCGGGCCAAGGCATTTATGTGCCTTTTCTCCTTTAATGCTAACAGCCCCACCTGAGGTCCATATTATTACCCGCCCCCAACACGCTTTATTTTCTAAAACTGGGTTTAGAAACTCTGAGTCTGTGTCTTGTCCAAGGCTGCACAGCTAGTAGGATGGGATTTAAATTCAGATCTGACCCCAAACCGGTGCTCTTAACACTGAGTTATGCCTCCTGGTATCATTAAAATGGTCCTTCTCCCAGAGTGATGGGACAGTCCTTCTGAAGGGTGGCCTTGCTTGCCCCACCTCCTCTGCCCTGCATGCTCACCCACACACTTTCCCCTCTTCTGGAAGGTTCTGTTCTGCTCCTGCAGCCCCACTTCCTGCCTGGATAACTCCCCCCTCACCTTTCAGGTCTGAGCGTCGACAGTAGTGAGTGATGTCTCCCTCCTATGGCGCTCTTCCAGCTTCTTGGTTTTCCCTCACCCACCGTCGTGTGAGCGGATGTGGCCCTAGTTAGACCACTAAGAGTGCCACCTAGCAAAATATTGAGATCTTTTGTTGAGGGGGACTGTCCTATGCATTGTCAGATGTTAGCATCCCTGGCCTCCTCCCACTAGATGCCGTGGCACCCCCAGCACTATATGACATCCAGAAATGTCTTCAGATATTGCCAGATATCCCCCAGGGGACGAAATCATGCCCCGTCGAGAACCGCTGCCCTAGAGAACTCTCCCAAGAGGTCAGAATGTGGATTTTAAGTTCCTTGCTCTCTACTAAGGACCTGGTTCAGTGCCTGGCACATAGAGGGTACTGGATGCATATTTGCTGAAGGAAGGAATAAGTGACATTAGCCAACTCACTCTGTGTATTTTGAGAACCAAAGGAATGGTGACTTGCCAGAGAGCTTCCAAATTTTGTGTTCTTGAACTTCCAAGGTGTCCATCTTTCCTAATCCTTTCAGCCATGCTGGAAGGTAGCTCAGTGCCCTTGTTACAAAGGCAAAACAAAAAACAAAAAAAACCTGGGTGGGAGTGGGGACGGTCCCTCTGTCATCAGCCAGCCTGAGCAAAGATCACATTTTAAAATTCAAAATATGGGTCACCAAGCCACAAGTGTATGCCTTACCACACTCGAGCAATACTCTGGGGCTCTTCCCACCCTGACATGGGACTTCCTTTCCCCCAAGCCTGTCTTTCTCGGAAGTTCAGCTTCCAGTCTCCCAGACGCCAGGCCAAGTCCCCTTCCTTCAATACACTCTCTCGAGCTGTTTGGTTCCTTCCGACCTCAAGAGTTTATTTTCAATCGGAGCATCTTCTAATTTCACCCATCTGTGGATTTGTTGTTACTAAGAGACCCTGAGACCACATGTAGGCGCTCATAACTCTCAATCTCTGAGCCACATCACCCTTGACCTCTGATGGGACTGGCCAAACAAGGCTGCCTGTTAGGAGCGCGCATGGCTTCCCGTGGTAACAAATTAACATAAACGGGGGGACTTCAAGCAATAGCTCTCACAGCTCTGGAGGCCAGAAGCCTGGAATCCGGGTGTCGGCTGGGCGTGCTCCCGTTGGAGGTTCTGGAGTCCCTCCCAGCTTCTTGTGGCTGCCTACCACCCTGCGTGTTCCTGGGCCTGTAACCACATCACTCAAATCTCTGCCTCCATCTTCACATCACTGCCTCTCGTGTGTCTGTCTGGAAACTTCCCGTCTCTCCCCTTAGAGGGGTACCTGTGCTGTATTTAGGGCCCACGTGGATAATCCTGGATGAGCCACTTCTTTCTAGATTCTTAGCTTAATTACATCTTTTACCATAGAAAACAACACAGGTCCTAGGATTCGGACATGGACATTTTGGGGGGGGGGTGAGGGACACCATTCAGGCCACTACAGAAGCATTGGCTACCTCTGAGAGACAGCAGAGTCTTAGCACAGAGCCCTCAAGAATGAGCTGTTGTACTGCTGTCGGTGGTGGTTTTGGACAGACCCCTGTAGAAAGTGGTTTTCCATTTCAGATGATAGAAGGCTCACTTTTTATGCTGATGATGTGGGCGCAGGTAGGGTCTGGAGGCCTTTCATCCGGATCTGGGATTTGAAGAGGACAAACCAAGGAGCAGTGGAGAGAATCTGAGCTTGGAGACTCCAGCGTCCGGCTCCCACACTGTGCATCCTTGGGCAATTCATGCCGCCAGCTCTCGGAGCCTCTGTTTCTTCAGGGAACAAGTGGCGACAACAGTACTCGTTTTCACAGAATCTTATGAGGCTGGAATGCAGAGTGCCTGGAATAGTAAATCAGAGTGGTTAGTATTATTGTAAAAGTAGAAGGCCAGTGCTAGCTATTTCTTTTCCTTATTTCTCTTCGGGATTCTGCTAGTCCTGCTCTTCAAACCCAGGCTAGAGAATGAGACACCTAGATGTGGAAGACACATCTTTGTCAGAGTGTTGAGGGACCCCAGGGTGCTGTGACTCACCCATGATTATCTCACCTGAAACTTGATGGCTCCGTGAAAATAGCTTCTGCCCTTTGGGGAGCCACAGCTGTAGCTGGAGTGCTTTTTGTGGTATGGAAATGTGTTTTTAATTAAAGCCCTTTGGAAAGAAACAAAGGAATAGCCAAGAAGTCTCCTGTGAGTGGTAGCTCAAGGCAAGTGCCAGAAGCCAGGACTGGGAATCACCAAGACACAGGGCCATGGATTTGACTTTCTAAAGGACTCCCATCTGTCGTTGGCTTCTTCATCTCCCTTTTCAGATCTGGTCCAGCATTCCCAGGCGTGTGGCGATGGCAGAGGCCTGCCTGAATCCTGGCCTGGGTCTGATGGGCAGCACTGGCAAATTCTGACTCTGGACTTTGGGAATTTTTTTAAGTGTACTCAAGTGAGTACACTTGATTGAGCTGTGAGTAAGCCCACTGATTCATTGGTTCATTCAACAACTAATCCTTGAGCGCCCATTTGCACCAGGTACTGTTCTAGGCTCTGGCACACAAGTCTGGGTAAAGTAAGCTTGGTGTCCGTTTTCCCTCTGAGCTGAGTCCTGTACTGTCTTATAGGACAGAATCCGTAAGGAAAGGGGCCACCAACATTCCCAAGGCCTGGACAAACTGCTCATCTAGAAAGTGGCCTTATACAAGGATAGGGATGAGAAGATGTGCTAGAAACTCCACCTGTGTTTCTCATTTAATCCTCATGGGATAGAGATTGCGTTTATGTTCATTTTACAAATGTAGAGAGTGAGGCCAGGGAGGTTAAGTGGCTTCCTCAAGGCACAAATCTGGGAAACAGTGAGTCGAGGATCTGAATCCCAGCAGCCTGGCTCAGGGACCTGCGTCGCTGAATACCGTGCCTTCCTGCTCCTTGTGAAGACATAGACCATCTGGGTAGCTGGAGAGAGACAGAGGGTGGAGCTCATTTGATTCATGCGATGAATTCTCATGCAATGAGACCGCCAGGTGTTTTCTCTCCCTGTCTGTGTGCAG